CCCCACCCACAATCTACCATGGCTGGTGACTCTGTAAGGCAATCTTCTTCGGTGAAAGCAACCATTGATAGAACTCAGTCTACTACCATAATCCCAACTCAAGTTACAAACCCAACATCCTCTATCCCTTTTCATCTTGATTTTTTGAATCCTCCACCTACTGTCACACTGATCCATATTAACACAAACTCCCAAATCCTAATGAAACTTACCCCTTCAAACTATTTCTCCTAGCATACCCAATGAAAGAGTCTCCTTTGTTATGGATTCTTAAGTTTTATAGAGATGTTCATTTAAAGTCAGTTTTTTGGTTTAAGCAAGACCAACTTATACAATCTACTCTTGTTGGTTATCTTTCACCAAAAATCATCACTTTTGCTATTTCATCTGAGACCTCTTTTTATGTTTGGAAGTATCTCAACAAAACCTATGCCAAATTGTCTCGTGCTCGACTCATGAGGATTCGAGAAATACTTTCCAAAGCTAGCAAAGGAATCCAATCCATCACTTATGATCTTCAGTTTATTAAACACTTGTGCGACCAATTCGCTGTTGCTGGCTCACCACTAGACGATGATGAGATCGCTCTACATGTTTTTAATGGTCTTCCCTCTAAGTACAAAGGCCTGACATATTTTCTCTATTCTCGAGACACACCTATATCATTTGATGAAATTTATGCAAAGCTCGTTGACTACGAAATAACTTTATTTCATGATGGTCCATTGCTATCAACTCCAATAGTTGCTAACTTCACTCAGCAACCTAGTGGCTCACAAAATAGAAATCAAAAGAAAGGTCAGTATTACTCTAATGCTCGACCAAGCAATCAGAATTTCAGCAGATTTAATTCTAGAGGCAAATCCTCAAATCAACTCCCTAATTTTGTTTTTCGGCACAGTGAAAAACTGGGCATGTTGTCCAGAAATGCCAAAAACTAACCACTGCATTTTCTTAGCTTATGTCGCAGTCCAACTTGAGTGCATCTCTTGCGCTCATCCAATTGCCACAAGTAAACTACACAACACCAACATCTAGTTCTAAATCCTCTTGGATTGTTGACTCTAGTACATCACATCATATTACCACAGACATTCAAAATTTGGCCTTTCCCACTAAATATGATAGGTGTGATGACATTCTTTTTGGTGATGGGAAAGGTATACAAATTACTTACACTAGTTCTACCACTCCCCCATCCTCCTCTCGTCCATTTTACCTTTCAAATATCTTTTATGTTCCCAATATGAAATAAAATTTAATATCTGTTTACAAATTTTGTTCTACTAATAACTTATCTATTGATTTCTTATTTTGTTAAAGTCTTCACCACATGGGCACCTCTTCTGGCGGGAAGCCTAAGGGTGACATTTATGCAGGGCCCATTGGATATCCTTCTCTTCTGTTTGCAGCAAAAACTATTTTTTCAACTCGCCTTACCACCAAATCTCTATTGCATAGACTGCTAGGGCATTTTCTGTTTTTGTCCTCAATCATGTACTATAATCTTAGAATTTACCATTTTGTTCTCCTAAAGATCATTTTATTTGCAACTCTTGTAAGTGCAATAAAAAGCACAAATTGCCATTTTCAGCACCAACAATAAAATTCCACATTTTCTCACCCCTCCAAACATTCCTAAACACAATATCACAATAAGACAATAAGTAACTTGATCAGTATCAGTACAAACCTGCAGAAACTTTCCATTTAGATGAAGTAGTTCGACTCTAGGACAGATATCCACAAACTTAACCAAATCAGAATTAGGATTGGCTTCCAAGCCTATTACAACTTTGTCCGAGCCTGTTACAACTCTGTCCAGCATAACAGAAACTTCAGTC